TCATGCTGTTACGTGCATTGGAGAGGAAGAAGTACGTTTACACTGGCCACATTTTGGATCACAAAGCGCAGGCTGATGCCCCTCTGAGTTCCCATCTGTCTTCCTTTGCTGTGATTCTAAATTTCAGATACTGGCTTTGTCTCTTTCTGTGATTTATGTGAAGGTGGGATGGGGGATAGAATAGCATTTTTGTTATCTTTTATTACCTGGCTCTTTCCTGGTTTCACTGTGGGAGAATGAATGTGGATTCTTTCTTTATATTAACACATCTTTAAGAAATAGTTCTTGCTCTCGCACTTCTCATAGAATAATATGTGCAATCCATTTATTTGAACTTTGAAAACTTTTTTCTTATTTTTTAAAAATCTAGATAACCCAAAGCCAAAATCTAATATAAAATTAACTCGTTTTAAGGTCTATATTTAACACTGCTGGGGGAAAAAAACCAGTTGGTTACTTTCCCAGAGTATGCTAATTAGCCGGAAAAATAATACTTTCTTTTCTGCTATTGGAAGAAGCAGTGACAAATAGAAAAGCAGCTTAGCATCTACACCCACTTAATGTAGAAAATAAAGAAATGCCTGCCAAGAACTCCTGCATTGGGTTGCTTGACAACCACTGAAAATACTGCCTTTCATCACCTCTTTCAATGCTTCCTTGTAACCCAAACTAATCGACATGACACAGCATAGAGCAATGAGTTTAGAACTAGATATCATTTTCAACAGCTTAGAAGTGCATAAGCTTCTAACATTACGATTTTGAAGAGAATGGCAATTTCTCTAACAATTTTTCCTAATATTGTGTGCATTTTTCTGTTACTATATATGTGGATTTTCCCCTGTCTTCTTCCTCCTTCAAATTACTTGTTCATTGATTTCATTCCTCTGATAAAAGAGTATTTAATATTGTTTATGAGGCTCACAAAGGATTTTTTTTTGGCCCGTTTCAATCATAACCTAATGGCATGGCTTTAGCATATACTACTTGATAATAAATACTGAGTTTTAGATCCTTAAAGCTATAATTTTTATTGTGTAATTCTGTACCATTTCCCACAACAAGAAGGGTATATTAATTTAAATTTATTTATTTGTGTTTTGCTTAACAGGGTTTCCAAGTGTTTTCATTGTTCTTTAAACACATTTATAGGTTCCTCCAATAGACTCTAAAATCTCCATTGAATAATAACTCTACTTATTTTTATGGGACACATATTTTCTACCTAGTTGAATTCTTGCAGCAGTTATCAGCCAGGGTAGGTTATATTTAGTGCCATTTTACGGATAATTAAACAAAAGCACGAGGAAGTTATTTACTTGCTGCAAGTTCCTTATTGTTCAAAAGTAATGCTGGGCTCCTCCAGGGGTGCAAATATGTGTTCTCAAAGATTAGAAAATATTTCTTCTACCCTCACTCTTTCTTGGTACTCTTGTATAATATTTGAATAGCTGATACTAACATTATACTCTGTCAATTATTTCTCTTTGTTCCTTTGCAATTGTTGCAAGAGCTGAGACCATGTTTACAGCTTTTACTCATTGCAATACACCTAGAGCCTAACATAGTACCTCATGTAGTAGGACCTCTATGAGTATTTACTGAATAAATGAAAAAAAATTCTCTGTAGTTTGTGAGAGGCTCCTGGTTTGATTTAATCCCCAGCATGGAAATATGTTTTTCCTCAAAGACTAAAGTTGCCCTGAGAAAAATCCAATGAAATGATTTTAAATTGGAGTTATTATATGTATCAGTTGAAGTGGGAAAGTTAAGAAAACATCCTACATGACTGTCTTGAGCTAGCAATGCTATCTTCTTAATACTCACTCAGGACCCAGATGAAGGAGAAGCCATCACGGGAAACATCATCTGTTACAATGAGGGGACATTAGGCTTTGGAAGGTCCTGAATAGGAATACCCAGATGCTGTTTTCTCCTTTTCCTCTTCCTCCTCATCCTTTTCCTCCTCCCTATTCTTCTCTCTATCCCACTCCTGCTTTTCCACTCCCCTCCTTTTCTTCTTATTCTTCCTTTCTTCAGTTTTGCACTACTGGGGATTAAGTACAGGGAGTGCTGAGCAAATCCTCAGCCCTTTTTATTTCCTGTTTATTGAAACAGGATCTTGCTAAGTTGCCCAGATGGCCTCAAATCAGTATTTTCTTATCTCAGCCTCTTGGGTAGCTGGAATTACAGTGTGCACCACCATCCTTGACTGTCCATTTCTAATTTTTAAATAAGAAATAAATTGAATCTGCATTAGTGAATATTAATAGAATTATCAATTCTTTATTGCACAATGTTTGGTTTCCACAAGGGCTAGAAATTATTCAGGAAAACTGGTAAAATTCCATTCTCTAGTCTAAATCTTGAATGCTTTACTCACTACTCAATGGTCCTAATATTTTATTTTTGATAAGCCACTACATTTCAATTTAGTCAAAGCCATATGAGTTGTTTGGGATACAATTTACTATAGTCAATTAATTTTCAGCAAATGGTTTTTCAAAATAAAAGCTGGAAAAAAAAAGAATTTAACTCAATGGAGGAATGGAGTGTTGTAGTCACTTATTTTGGATATTATGCAGTGGTCACTGCAAGTCAGCTCTATACTAAATTCTATTTGTAGTATATTTAACTGTGCATAAACTTTTGGCTTTTTTCCTCTTCTTTATTTTTATTTTTTTGTGGTGCTGGGGAGGAAACATAGATTCTACACCATCTGATCTAGGTAAGAGCTTTACCACTGAGCTAAACTCACTCTACTTAGATTTTTTCTTAATCAACTGTGGTTCGGTATGAAATGATATGATTCTCATATGTAGTTCCAATGACTTTATTAACATCAGAGATATTCTTCAGGACAGTCTAATTTTGCTTATCATATGAGTATTATGACTATTATATAGGCTATTATAGTAAAGGAATATAGCAAATGTTAGACATGCAATTTTCAAGGGCTTAAAAAAGTCAAAGCTTCAAAGATAATTAAAAGTATTTTGTACTTCAAGTATAAAATTTCCTACAACAGTTACCTTGTTGAAGAAAAAAAACCACCTTTGTTAACAAAAGTCCTTCAATATCTGGAATGAAATTTGATCCAAATGTTTGAAATGTTGCAATACATGGTACTACATTATTAATTTATAGATTAAAACATAACTTCACTGGAATTCAACTACCAAAATTCTATTTCAAAAGGAAAGACCTTCACCAAAGAAATGTTAGAATGTTACTTACACTACTTACCATAGTTCCAAACTCAAAACTATCCTAACATCCATTAGAAGAATCAATTCATAAATTATAGTATAATTATAGAATGCAACAAAAATGATCTACAACTGCATTTAAGTAAAATGTTGAAGAAGCCCAACACAAAAGAATGCATGTTTTATGATTTCATATATCTGAAGTGTAAAGACAGAAAAAAACTTATCTATGTTGTTGCAAATTTGCAGAGTGCTGCCCTTGGAAAGAAGCAGTAGCTAAAAGGAAGCTTGCTGGGGCTCCCAGGTGTTACTAGCGTTCTGTTTTTTGATCTGGGTGCTGGTTACAAACGTATGTGTATGTTGTAAAAATACCTAGAGCTATATATATGCTTAGATTACATGCACTTTTCTGTATGTATATAATATTGCAATAATAAATTTTAAAAAGAAAACAATCCAGGAATCCACAAAAATTGGTTGCCAACCCAACGTAATCCTCCAGGTCATTACTAGAATTTGTGAGTCACTGATATGAACATGACTCTCTAAAAAGATTACTGGGTACATTGGATTCCAAACAGTTGTCCATAACAATTTGTCTAGACCTAAAATATCCAAACTAGCTAATCATTTATCTTTAAATTCTGCTCTCTGATTTTCTCTACCTTCAGTGATGCTACTGTAGTTTAATTCGTAGCATTTCCTACTTTAAATCTCATCTGCTGCAATCTCTTTATGGTCTCCCTATAGCTTACATACGAACTGAAATGACTTAGAGTCTGTAAACCACGTCCCTTGACTCCTTTGCTTCAAAGACCTCAATAGAGACACAGTAAATTTAAAATGCAGCGCAAACTCTAGAAGCCCTATTTCTTTCACCTACTTTGCAGCTCGCTGTTTTCCCTCTCCCTCACTGTACTGTACTAGGGCACACTGACCTGCTCCTTCTTCCAAAAGCCCAAGTGTTCCACCTCAGCAGTTTCTTCATGCGGTGCCCTGTGCCAAGAACAATCATCGCTTCACTGTTCCAACGACTGCTTATTCCCTCACTCCGGACTCGGCTTCCATGCACTCCACTTTGCATTTATCATATGATGGGCCCACCCATACCTCATCTGTTTCCTCCCTTGACAGATTTCTTATTTTATACGTGCTTATTTACTTGATAATCTTCCTCTTTTTTTGTTCCTTATTAGACTGCAAATTCTGACAGCAACACTCATGCTTCGCTGGGTTGCTTTTATCTCTCCATTGCCTACCAAGTACCTGACACACGCCAGGTCCTTCCTAAGCACAGAAACACCGCGGCGAATGAATGAAGCGACAGTCTCAAAGGATCACAAGACGCTTGTTTGTTCAACAACGAAAAGCGAAGCACTGTGAATCTGTTAAAGAGTACGTAAGAAGAGCTAACGTCTTTCAAATTCTGAGCCCAGGCAAAGTACCCTTCTCTGTTTCCCAGCTGTCATAATAACCACGGCCTGGCCCCAGGAGACAGACCCTCCTCCCCCCTCCACCCCCCCTCCCTCCCGAGGGAGCTGTATCAGGTTCGATGGCCCCGCCCACTTTCCGGGCGAGCCTCCCAAGCCGCAGCTCTCGCCACGAGGGGCGGGGCGCCGGCGCAAGCCGCCACTGGTCCAGGTTGACGTCGTCCTGCAATGCTCTGCTACATTGCAGAGTCAAATTGCAGAAGCGAGAGGCTCGTTCCTCTAGGGGTCCGCGATTCGCTGACGTCGAGGGCGGACGCGCCGCCGTGCTGAGCGCCGATTGGCCAGAACTGCAGTCAGTCAACGGGAACACATCGCCCACTTCTTCGTCTAGCCGAGAGGTGGCCAAAAATTTTCGAGAATTTCCTGGAGATGAAGTAGAGCCTCCTTTAACAGCTTATTGTGGAGGTCCGAGTCAACGGGGAAGACAGTCTTATTACCGACCAAGACAACGCCTCTCTGCCCTCCAATAGCTAATTTTAAACTCCTGGGACTACAATCTCGGAGAGGTAAGCATAGAGTGCAGTCCCTTTACCGTGTCGGCCTGATGCTGCTCTGGGAGGCCCGGAGTGAGCGCGGAGGACTCCCCGGGAAGGGGCTAGAGGAAGGTCATTCAGTTTCTCCAGCCTCCTCGGGCCGCGCGCGGGCTGGCGGGGAGCAGCGTGGCGGGGCTGGGCCGGGCTTGGGGCCTGGGCTCGGGCTCGGGCTCGGGCTCGGGCTCGGGCTCCGGAGGATGCTGCGGGGTCTGTGCCGCGTCGCCGCCCGGGGGAAGCAGACGTGGCGACCGCGGGATCCGAACGCCCGGAAGGAGGCGGGCGGGTGCCCGGCTGCGGAAGGTGTGGGGGAACCGAGTTCTCCGCACTGCTGCACTGGCGGGAAGGTACTTTCCTGCCGAATGTCACACGGGTCACTCAGCTGTTACGGCCAGCAAATCCAGCGCGGAGCCCAAACCTATCCAATGGCAAGCTTTTCGGGAGATCCGTACAGAGAAGGATGCAGAACCCTGTTTGGATCAGATCCGAGCCTTGGGCTTTCCCTTGCAAGGACAGCATTGAAGTCTTAGGCCTAGAGCCTTGACGATGCCATTCTTAGCAGCTGCGAAATCCTGAGCAATGACAAAAGCGGGGACCGTAGGTGGAGACTGCCAGGGAATACACAATCTCTCAAGTGGTTGCCCTTTCCGAGCGTCTGCAAGAGAGTGCAGCAAGCCCCTGTCGGTTCTTCGTACCTTTTGCCAGGGCGGGGGAAATAATGAGGTTGTTGGGCAGTATCAGAATGAGCTACTCCAGCGACAATGAGAATGAGCTTGAAAACAGCCACAATTAGCGGTGTCCTGGTTACGCAGCTACAGTAGGAAGGCGCGAACTGAGGGCAGGTGTGACTTTTGAAGGATACGGAAATTCGGAACAGACCCACCACCGTGTAATAAAATACTTTAGTTACAGTTTGGAGCCCTGAGTTTTTGTTTTCCCCCTTGCAACTTCAGTGACTTTCTGTTGATCCGTACAGACACCTTCCTTCACTGGAATCTTAGATAAAAAAAGGGGGAGGTGCTGGTGATGTAACATAGAATAGGAAAATTCTGAGACATAAAGTTACAGGATTGGAATGTGGTCTGTGGTTTGTGTTCACAGTTTAAAAAGATTATCTACAGGATGAGAGTAAGAAATACTTCTCACTGCTCCGATAATCTTTTCGTTATTTGCAAGAAACCTACATTCGCCATCAAACCTAAGGGACCTTTTGTTGTTTTATTTTTTCCCCTCAAGTAGACTAGTACATTTTCCTTCCTTCTGGCAGTGGAAGGCTTTTGAGTCCTACAGTCTATGTTATTTTAGTTTATTGGGATTCACCCCACTCCCCTGTACACCCAAAGATCAGTAAAACAACAGAAACAACCAAAACTTAGTTTAAGAATATTAAACATTACTTGTGTTTACTTGTGTTTGCCACTTCATAATAGACAGGTATGAATAGTTTCTTTAAAAATTTTTTTTTCTGGAAAGGTAAAGTCTAAGGAGCTATCAGTAGTAATGATCTTTCCAACTACTGAATGATTTTGTCATATGCTTTACAATCTGCTCTCCTGACCTGGTTTCAACACTCAAGAACAGTGTATCTTAAATATCAGTGCCATATCTTGGCAGAGGCAGTGCCTCCTTTTCCTAAAAATGAAATGGGCAGCAGTAAGGTGTTACACCACTGAGGGATGACAAAGAGCCAAGAAATGCAAAATATACTAAAATTGGCACAGCGGTTTTGTAGTTTTTTCTGTGGCGTTTCTTCACTTCCCTTTGATTTGTAGATCAAATTTGTGCTTAAAATGACTACAGCTGAACTGGGGATAGAGTGTGGTGGTAGAGCTCTTTCTTAGCATCTGCAGGCCCTGGATTCCAACCCCAGCATCCCACATACCAGAGTTTGTCAAAAGACAGTTGTACTTTTTATCCTTCTTGATGGTTTTGACTTGAGATTTTGTCTTGGGATATGGTTTTCCGCATATGCTTTCATTTAGAATTCCAACGTCCAGTTAATTTTAATTTTTAATTATTTTGGGATACCAGGGGTTGAACTCATGACCTCACATCTACCAAGCAGGTGCTTCTGCCACAAATGTAACTCCCTGGCATTATTTTTTATTTTTTAAGAGACACGAGTGTTTACCTGTTTTCTAGCCTTGGATCCTATGTTAGATTTAAAGTATCAGATTTAGGAGGAAGATGGGGAAGGCTTAGTCAAACTAATGTGGAAATGATGAAAATATTTTCAGGCAGTTATTTATTGACAGTAGCTAGAATATATAAGGTATTTTGTGTGTCTACTCACACATTTCATATACTTTTAAAATTTTATTTGGTTAATTCATAAAGTAAATTGGGAGCCATAATTTTTGTTGTTGTTTTGTTTTTTTTTTGTTTGTTTGTTTGTTTTCAAAGGGAGATACTTTGGATTGAACCCAGGGCTTGGTGTACCTTAGGCAAGCACTGTACCACAGAGTTACCCCCCTCCCCCCAGCCCTTTAAAAAGATAATGTCTTCCTGAGTTCCTCAAGCTGGCCTTGACCTTGTGATCCTGTAGCCTCAGCCCCCAGAAAGGCACAATGATAGGTGTGTCTCACCACTTATGACAAGCTATATATTTTTGTTTTAATTAGGAAATAAAAAGTAATTTGGAAAATAGTTTAAGTAGATGATTATCTGTTTTCTTTTTGCATATGACTACTAACATGTTTTAGATTATGTAATACATTGTGCAGCTAGGATTGCAGTTATTTATTACTTTCTTGCTTAGCATAATCTTTATTTTACCAGTATAATGATATGTGGATATGTTCTTTCGCTTTCTGTTTTCTTAACTTTTGCTCTGACATACTTTTGTTTAATTCAGAGGGCTTTCCAGTAGATTTACTTCTGTCCTTTGACTTGTTTGGATGATTTAGCATACAAAGTTTGTCTATAATTATTAAAATGGTTTCTAAAAAGAAGTTATCCTTGATTCTCCATCAAAAGATTGGCAAAATTCTCCTTTGCCTATTCAAAAAATTTCTGAGTGACTGTGTTTCTTAGTTGGTAAATGATAAACTTACCCAGATTCATAATTGCTGAATGAATTCTTGGGAGTTTGTCAGTCTGTGCCCCACTCTTTACAATGGAAAACATTGATATTTTTTTTTTTTAAAGAGTTTTGAACTGGGAATGGTGGTGCAAATCTAGAATCCCAACAGTTAGAAAGGCTGAGGCAGGAGAATTACAAGTTCAAGACCAACCTGGACAACTTAGTGACTTAGTGACACATTGCCTCAAAATTAAAAATAGAAAAGGAGCTGATGGTATAGCTCAGCATGTACTGGGTTCAATACCCAATACAACAATGAAAAAAGGGGACATTGTTATTTTTCACATTTGAAATTCTATTCCTTGCCTGTTCAGTGCATAGTCATTTCCATGAACATCTGGAAAGTGAGGCAGTCTGGGATGTCAGTTTCCAAGTTTGAAGCTGTGGAGGAAACATTTCTTTGGTGTGCAGATGTTTTTTTTCTTTATTCTTGTTCCCCCCCCCCCCACCCCTTTTGGTGTTGAGGATTAAACCCAAGACCTTGTGCAAGCTAAGCCTGGCTCTGCCACCAGAGTTTATATAGGCTTAAAGTTGTTACTTAGCTTGGAAACACAAGATAGCTTTCACTGGTTTCTTAAGGAATCTGGCAGGAATTAGTATACTTTTGTTTTACTGCTTTTGGAGGAGATGAAACTCCTAATAGAGCATGTCCTGCTCCCCTAGATGATGTGATGCTGATCTAGTTTTGTAGTGGTAATAAATCATCTGCAAATCTGACTCACAGTTAACCTCTTACAATAATGCACTTTCAAGTAGATGTTTTTCCATAGCTACTCCGTTGACTTTCTGAGATGATTACATAGGAAATATGTAAGAATGAGGCCAAGTCAGTGATTGATTTTAGTCAATATAGGCTTTAGGAAACTGGGACCAACATTCCTTTTATTTTATTCTTAAATAATGTTTCCAGTAAATGTGTGTTCTCTGCTGAGAATGCAGTTGTATTTTACCATTTTAAAAATTTGAGAGGGTTAAGAAGGAAAAAAGGACAAGGATATCTTAGTAAAGCTACAGGAAAACCTTAATATTGATTTGATTGTAATTCAATAACTATTCTTTAAAGTAAGTACAGGACTACCATGTAGGCCAAAGCTAAATGTGGCATGCATGCCTTCACACTGAAGCCAAAAACAGTAGTTCACTTAACTTTGGTGCATTCTTCTTGTGTGTTTTCTAATACATGTTTTTATTTATAAAGCTTCATTTTTTGTATGGTATTAAGGTGCTTTGGGAATTTTCTCTATTAATGATTAGCACTTCTATTACTTTCTAGATTATACACAGTGTTACGGTTGATACATTGTGTCAACTTGAGCAGTTTAGAAGTTTCACTGACTCAGCAGGGAGCCAGGGTTCTTCCTTTATAAATATCCTCATCCTGTACACAGGAGGGCAAGGAGATTTTGTGAGTGCTACACCTGCAAGGGGCGGGGTGGTAGAGATGGGGTGGGGGGCAAGTGTGGCCCTGTACAATATAAGGGAAGAGAAGAGATTGTTTTCTCCCTTTTGCTCTGGCTGCTGTCTGGAACTGTTGCCCCAGTGTCATGCCACCCTGCCTTGGAGCCAGCTGATTATGGACTGAAACCTCCACAGTGAGCAAAATAAACCTTTCCTTCCTTTGTTTTGGATGTTGGGTATTTTGTCCCAGCAAGGAGAGAATTCTTGAAATTTCTCCACGAGTTGTCACCTATATTGTTATTGCTGCTGAATAAAATATGACCTCTGATTACTCTGTTTTCTGTTATTTTAACAAAGTACCTGAGGCTGGGTAACTTCATAAAGAAAAGGTTCAAGGCATTGGCATTAGCTCTGGTGAGGGCTCTGGTGAATGGCATCATCACAGCAGAAGCACTTTCTGAGAGGGAGAGATCACACTGCCAGGGCAGCACATGACCAAGAATGATTTGGGGGCCAGGCTCAGGCATTTCTTTTTTTTTTTTTTTTAATCGGTACCAGGGATTGAACTCATGACTGCCTGCTTTCAAGGTAGGCGTTTATGCCGCTGAGCTAAACCCCCAGCCCCGGGGGTAACCAAGGCTACTCAGTCCGAGGACATGGAGCCTCAGAATCAGAGGGACCAAGGATGTAGCCCCAATCTGCGACTGAAGTGCTGGAAGCCCTTGGAGAGTCCCTGCTGTGTTGAAGCATGTGGAGGCTGATGTTAGCTGGCCGTGGCAGCCACTCAAGAAGAATAGGGCATGGCATGTGTCCACTTTTTGTTCCACGGGGCCCCCAGCCTGGTGGATGGTGTGTCCCATATTCAGGGCAGGTCTTTTGGAAACATGCTCATAGGCACATGTAGATGTTGCCTTACCATTTTCTAGGCATTGCTCAGTCCAGTCAAGTTGACAACCATGATTAACCATCACAATATCAAAGGATGTCCTTAGGAATCTCATCAGTTCTTCTAATTTTACCCTTTATATTCAGCTGCATTGGTTTCCAAAAATTGATTTGAAAGTGATTACATAACCCGTGTAATGCATTTTCTCATAGATGTGCTCCAGCTGGTTGATGTGTGTGTGTGTGTGTGTGTGTGTGTGTGTGTGTGTATGTTATACCAGCGTTATGAAATCTTACACTATCCTTTCCAGTTAATTTTTAACTTGCAACCTAACAGTAAGACTGGGTATGTATGTAGCTCAGTGAAAGAGTATTTGCCTAGCATGCATAACACTATGGGTTTGGTCCCCAGCACTGCAAATTAATTAAGTAATGAATCAAAGTAAAAGAAGGAAAGACAGGGAATGGTTTTTTGCTTAGAATATTTATATTGGAAAACCATCAAAGAGACAGCCCTTCCTGCAGGCTGTCAGAATTTCCCCTGGCAATACCCAGTAATGCCAAGGCAGGCTTTAAGTTTGCACTTAAGTAGATACACAGAGTAATAGTTTCAAGCAATGCAGTCTTAGCCTATTATAAGCAGTTTTACCTAGCTGTATGTTTCTTTTTTTGTTTCTCTTTTAGGAGACACAGATATTTTTACTATTTGTGCTTTTCTTTGGAGTAATCAGATTAAAGAAGGGAAAGTGTTACTTGCATTTGTAGTCCTCCTACCTAAAAGAGTGGCCTGCTAATTCTGTTATCACCAGAGAGCTGGTTAGAAAAGCAGAGTTCCCAGGCCCACCTTATACCCCACCTCATAGCAACTGAATGAAAATAAATAATAAACAAAAGCCATTGCACATTATCAAAACCCTGGAGTGATTGCAGGTTGAAGTTTGAGAGGCACTTTAAGTGTGTTCTACCTCATGCATACTATCACATTTTATAGAATTTAAGTAGTATGAATTGAGTAGGTAAATAGATTCACTGTGCTTAGAAGTAGGCTGCTGGGTGTCTGCCTAATATATAACATAAATATATATTTGTTAGCAGATACTCTGTGGCTTTCATTTTTTCGCAGTGTCTAATAACATTAATTATATTCAAAATTATTGACTCAGTCTCTCTTCCTCTTTCTCTTCGCAGCTGTATCGTTTCTTGTGAAGACACTTCATTATTGTTCATTGCCCTTTCCCTCATTCCTGAGGCCTTTGGAGTGGAGTTATGTCAACTGCAGCCTTGATTACTTTGGTTAGAAGCAGTGGGAACCAGGTGAGGAGGAGAGTGCTGCTAAGCTCTCGTTTGCTGCAGGACGACTGGCGGGTGACTCCCACGTGCCACAGCTCCACCTCAGAGTCCAGGTGTTCTCGGTTTGACCCTGATGGTAGTGGGCGTCCAGCTACCTGGGACAGTTTTGGGATTTGGGATAACCGCATTGATGAGCCAATTCTGCTGCCACCCAGCATTAAGTATGGGAAACCAATTCCCAAAATCAGCCTGGAAAACGTGGGCTGCGCCTCCCATATTGGCAAACGGAAAGAGAATGAAGACCGATTTGACTTTGCTCAGTTGACAGAGGAGGTCCTATACTTTGCAGTGTACGATGGACATGGAGGACCTGCCGCTGCAGATTTCTGTCACACTCATATGAAGAAATGCATTACGTACGTACACTTACTTTCCATTTGACAATTCTCCTTTGTTTCCTGTTTAATCTTTTACCTTTTGGCTGAGGTGTCCTTTGTAAACTAAGTTACTTGAGAGGTTTTGCACTGCCACCCTATGAATGAGAAGAAGTTTATGCATGCCTTTCCTTATTCTTAGTTAGTACCCCTTCAGAGATGTGTGTCTTAATAACTCCCTAAGGAACACATTGAGCAGAACATATACTACTTTGTGATGATTTCTCACAAATTAGTGTAAAATGCATATTATAACCTATGAAACACCTTTACTCCTATTAATGCAGGGTGTATAATAAGTGTTTCAATAATGGTACTCTCAAGTGAGATGTGAATAGTTTTGAGTACTGGTTGAAAGAGCTTTGTACAGTAGTATTAGTGTGCGGAAAAGGCATTTAATGTGGGCATTTTGAGGCCCTTTAAAATTTTATTTACTCCTATTGTTGTATTTTAAGAATCACTATTGCTAGAATTGATAGAGAGAAGACATATCACAGAGTTATGACTGTGTATTATGTGTATTTCTTATGTACATAGTTAGCTATACTGTTCATCACTTGATTTAGGTATAAATTACCTCATTCTACAACTCAGTAGTATAATTGATTTGTTTTTTATTTTTTTACAGTACTGGGATTGAACCCAGAGCTACTCCCCCAGACTTTTAAAAACTTTATGTTCTGTTCTTGTTTTGAGACAAGGTCTTGTAAGTCACTGAGTGAGTCCTGGGCTTAGTCTTAGGATCCTCCAACCTCAGGCTCCCACAGTGCTGGGATGACAGGCATGTACTACTGAACATAGTTTGGTGGTTTAATTTACTATGAAGAAACTCTTGATCTCACAGGGTTGTAGTTGTGAGAATTAATTCTTTAAGAATAGGCACTTGAAGTTGGGTGTGGTATCACATGTCTGTAATCCTAGCCTTCTGGAAGACCGAGGCAGGGGGATCAAAAGTTCGAGCCCAGCCTCAGCAGTTTACCAAACCTATCTCAAAATAAAATATAAAAAGGGATTTGGAGTGGTTGTGCATACCTGTAATCCCAATGTTTGGAGGCTAGGGCAGGAGGATCTCTGTGACTTCTAGGCCAGCCTGGGCCACATAAGTGCGTTTAAGACCAGCTTGCACTACATTCTGAAAGCCTGCCTCAAGAAAAAAAGCCGAAAGGGTGAGGGGACATTGGGGACAAGCTTGTGGGAAGCCCTTGTGCTCAGTGTCCAGTACCTCAAAAAAAAAAGGGATTGATTGATTGAGGTAAGTAGTTTATCACTGGACTACATCGCCAGACAGACTGTAGTTTTCCTGACCCTAAAAGCTTATCACATGCAGGAAGCTTTGAGTTCCATCCTAATTCCCAAACATTCTAATACCCAAAACAAACAAGCAAACAAATAAACAAGTACATTTTTAAGAAGTCTCTTGTGTGTAATGACTGTATAAAATGATCATGAAGAGAGATACCCACAGTAAAATGATTTTTCAGGGCTTTCTTTGCTCTCTACACAGGGATTTGCTTCCTAAGGAGAAGAACTTGCAAACTGTGTTGACTTTGGCTTTTCTAGAAATAGATAAAGCCTTTGCGAATCATGCCCACCTATCTGCTGATGGTACGTAAAGCAATCACATTTCTCAGAATGTTGGGGAAATGGGGGTAAAAAGGAAACCACCCAGCCATGGGTGTATATTTTTTTTGTAAGGAAGCTTATATAGAAATGATTTTATATATGCTGTTTGGAACACAAACTAATATTAATACCTCACTTTAACATAAGAATTTTTCAGAAAGGGAACCTCCTAATGTTCTGTTATTAGATTTTTTTAATCTTAAGAAGGTTTTAGAATGTTTTCATCTGTTTGATTTCTTGCTTCGTGAGGAAGATATCCATACTTGGGAGAATACTTTCCCCTTGATGAGTCTGATGAGCAAATGCTAAAATACTTGGATAATTACATCTACCAGGGCAGATAGTAATTGTTCCAACAAGATAATCACTAATAACTCCTAGAGGAAATTGTTAGATAATATGCAGTTTGTATAATCAAAAGGAAGACATTTTTTTCTACTTTTTAAAGCTCAATCTTGCAAATTTTCTGTTAACTGGTGATTATTTATATTTTTGTTAAATCTCAGAGCATGCCAACTGAATTAAAAAGTGTGTATACTACATGTCTCTACATTTTGAAAGTAAAATGTTTTGGGTTTTTACTAGATGTATCACAACCATTTCAGGAAAATGCAGCCAGCTAGTTAGCTGACCAAAATGTCTTGTTTATAATGTTAATCCTGAAAATTTAAGAGCAGCCTTAAAATGTATGCCTCAGCGCTGATTTGAAAGTGAATCACGCAGTAATATTAATCTGTATTTGTTTCATCCTTTCCTTTTAAAGAACATACTACAGAAATGTCACTTTCAAATTTTCAGCGATGCACAGGGATAGGAACTCTCTCCATTTCTCCGATAGGAGCTGAAACCCAGAGAAAGGTCAGTTCAGTTTAGGGCTGGAATTTTCCCGGGTCCCAGTGTGACTTTTCTCACATGAGTATTTAATGATGAGGAGAAGGTAATTCTGGGATGGCTCTGTTTGCCAGAATGAAAGGCTTCCCTACCTGACCCCTCTGTCGCAGTGCGTGGTATCAATCCTCTGACTCTGAGCATGCTACAAGCTCAAAGTCACCATACACCTCCATCCCAGCTCTTTCCTGCTCTTGTTTTTTTTTTTTTTTTTTTTGGTGCCAGAAATTGAATTCCTGACCTTGTGCTTGCTGCCAGGGAGGCACTTGTGCCACTGAACTAAATCCCCGGCCCTTTCTTGCTCTTTTTTGAGAACCTTACCGTCACACTCCTCAGAAAAGCATTCAAATCTGTTTTTCCTTTGTTTTATTTTAATTTGTACATTTAGTCTTCTTTTCTTCATTCCTTCATTCCTTTGAACAGCCTTCAATAAGATAGGAGGTGAGAGAGGGTAGAGATTTTGCCTAAGATTGAGCTCTTGTTCAAAATGGGTAAAACACATGAAGAAGAGGAGAAAATAAAATTTGTTCTATATTATAATTGTGAATTTTGGCATGCTCTTAGTTTACCCACTCCCAGCTTGGCTGTGAGTCTGGCTGCGTCACACACCTCACTGTTTATGAGTGGCAGTGTTTTGTTGGGGGTAGGTGCCAGCTGTCCTGCGAACAGCTGTAGTTTGCAAGGCAAGGCTGAGAAGGGCATGGTCCCGAGCGTTGGTGTGCAGCCAGCAGCCAAACACGTTAATCTTTCAGGGTGCAGTCAGCCTTTCTGAAAAGGATCCAGTCAGTGTTGATGCTTAGGATCGTCAGTATTAGACTAGATGAAAATTTGAAAGGACTTTCCTCATTTATTAAGTAATAAGTTATAATTCAAGAGATTCTGAACTTAGAGTATTTATTCAACTTGAGCATCTTAAAAGAAGCTTTCTATTGATTACTTTCTTCTCATAGCCAAACAGGCATGTAGGAAATTTAATCATAAACTAACTCATCCCTTAACAATGAAATTAAAATATGCTGTTTAGTTTGGTTCCTCTATCATATGCTTTAAAGCACTGATTTTAGAACTTCCATAAAGATATTTTAAGTTACTTTTTATTTAATAGCTATTTGTTTGAAAGTATGATGGGTTGAGATAGAATAATGCTTATAAGGTATGCTAATAAAATATGTCATACATAATATTCTTAAAATATATATTTATGTTATTATATATATTCTTAAAATTTATGCATTTTTAAAAATTAGTGTTTTGAGAACATTTAAAAGTTTTATTCTTAATAAGTTGCCCAATCTTTCAAAGATGTCAAAAGTTATCTTCTGGTATTGGGTCTTATTTTATCAAACATATTAAAGTCACTAGACACAAAATGCTGAATGTTAATTTTTCAATTTTTGGACTAAAACACCCCAAATCTATGTCATTATAGACTTCAAGGTTATTTAAATTGAAAAAAAAAAATGAAGTTTTTAGCAAGAACTAAAGCAGTATCAGTATTATAAGAGTGGATAATGTTCTTTGAAGCATATATGTATCTAAAGTAATATATAATCCCTATCTATAGATATATAAATATCTGTATTTCTCCAATGCTAGCCTAAAAAACATCTGTGGTTCCATAATTTGCCCTGTCTGCTTGCTTTCAACTTTTCCTTTGGTGTTAGGCCCATTTGCACAACTGTTGGACCTTTCTGGTCAGGGCAATGACCCATGCTTGCTTTTTTTTTTTTTTTTTCTTTTAAGTACTGGGCCTTGCAAAGTGCTAGATCACTGAGCTACAACCTAGCCTTTTTTTGTCACCATCTTTGAACTATTTTGTATTCAATTTATAATAGAAATGTGTGTTTTTATAATTATTAAGCCAGCCAGTAATTTCAAATACTATCCAATGCCTCTGTTGTTTGCAAATAGTCACTTAAAACAGACTAGGTAGTAGAAAAGTTAGATTAATAACCTACAATCCTACAAACCTTAAACGTGATTGTAGGTTGCTCAAGCTTTGAGAGCAGCAAACCTCTGCTAGATAAATGGGTCCAAAGGAGAAACCTACTCTGACATGGAGTGAGAGACACAAATGGAGGCACAGCTTGTCTCATTGGAAACATTGGGGCTCTTCATATCATGATATATTTATAGAAAAATTAAGCTGAAAAGTAACTAGGAATTTTTGTGTGTGGTCCTGGAGATTGAAACATATGGTCACTGAGGTACAACACTAGCCCATACAACTTTTTTTTCTTCCAGTACTGGGGATTGAACCCAGGGTTTTCTCATTGAGCTATATTCCTAGCCCCTTTAAACAATTTTTTGTGAGGCAGGGTCTAAGGTGCCTAAGTTGCCTAAGTTAGTATCCTCCTGTCTCAGCCTCCCAAAGTGTTTTGACTGCAGACCTGTCACCACACCCAGCCCCTGTGCAACATTTTAGAATGTTACATCACCAAACTGGGAAAAAAAAAAATAGGGATAGCATCAAAGAGAAGTTCTTATTGTGCTGTTACTGCTTCAGCTCGTTTGTTACTTTGGTTTTGGTGTTCCTGAATTGTACCTGTCTAGAAAACACATTTTTAATAGGTGGAGACTATTTGTTTCTAATATTGTTGATACTACACAGTTAAATAGTTACCTGCATTGTTATATTTTGAAAAGTATAGATTTTACCTTTATGTTGCTGTTCAAAATTGTGATCATTTTTCTTCTGTTGTGTTGACCTGCAACACTGGGGAAAAGAGAGAGCTGCAGAAATAGTCATTTTATGAATTCTATAAATTATAAACCTGTGTTAGTGCTCAAGAGCCTTACTAGCCTTTATTTAAATGTATTGAAAGTAATCATTCTACTGAAACACTGTTTCTAGATAATAAATCCCTGCATTGTGCACCATTAACAAAAGTGTTAAGCCTGTGTCTGGCATAGGAGGTGCTTTGACTCCTGCCTGGTAAATATTTAAATCTCAGTAATTTGGTGGTATACTGTAGTTCACATCCCATGACTGTGTACTGCTTGTCTGATGCAGATTATTTAGTGCTGTCCCTTGGAATTTACTCGTCTGTTATTGGAACAACTTTGATGTTGCTACCAAACAAATTTACAGTGTACTTTTTTTCTAACTCAATAATGGTACTTATTTACTGTATGGAAGACCAATTATGTAAGTGTGTGTGGGTGTATGTGTGTGCGTGTGTGTGTGTACAGATGTGTATATATTGACACCATTATGTTTTGCTACAAATGCATTTGCAAATAGTTTCTTCCTACATTGGAAGACTAAGAAAGACATTAGTCTGTGATTTAAAACAAAAATTCAACAACAAAATGCCATCAACTTGAGCAAGTTGAGTTTTCACATCATTAATTTGGCACTCCTAGAATATGATATAATTTGTTAGTGAAATTTTCACCAAAATAAAAACCCTTCCCCTTATTTTGCAGCTCTTTCTCTGCTCTCCCCTGTGTTGCAGGTTTGTAATGTTTGAGCAAAATTCCTGGGTGAATTTCCTATTTGCCTCTGTGCGTGTTATTTGTGGCAGAGAACTGTACGTGGTCACCAGCTCTAGACCTGGAGCCCGTGGACACTATATGCTGGGCTTCAGAGGGATCTGCTTAATTTTGTCTCAGGTGAAGGAGTCCAGCGGTTCCTAGCCTGGACTACTGGAAGGTTCCCACATCCTCTTTGTCCCATTAGTTGAGATGACTTGCAGTAGAAATTGTCCAGTGAGTGTTAAGAACTTATTGAAAGATGTCTTAGTTTTATAATTTTCTTATTAGGCCTGAAAAGTGAGAATTTTTACTTCTGTGTTAAATGTTAAGTGAAAATAAATGCTGATTTACTATTTATATTCTTAGATGCTTAGCAAATCAGTCTCAACAGTTAGTTTTGAAACTTTTCCCTAACCCTGGGATTTTGGAACTGTGGAGGTGAGTTGATAAAAACTCAAATTCTTTTAAATTCCTAAGTGGGACAGCCAAGAATTACAAACCTAAACCACTAAACTTTTGTTTATCAAAGTTTAATTCTTGTCATAGCCAATTAAAGATAACTTTTAAAAAAGCTATTACTGACTATCAAAGAGAAAAGTACAAAAATCTCTGGATAGGTAGCATTTCTCTTGCCTGGCTATTTAAATCATTTGAAAATAAAGCTGGCTTACATGCTAAAAATTCCATTGCTGTATAAAAATTCCATCATTGTATAGTGTCTGATCTCAAGTTAAAAGTTAATATTTGTAATATAAACATCACTGCTGTATATTTTGCAACAATCATAACATTGACACAACAGTTCCAAAATCAAGAGATAAGTGGCAAGATAGTACAACTATATTTGGTATTTTTCAATGAAGTAAATTCAGCATGACTATGAAAGATTAAGTAGAATTTATTCATGTTTTTCCATTTTATTTTTCTGATTAAAGCAGGCATTTTAATATACTGACTTGAAAAATCCATTGATATATATTTATGCATATATATAAACTATATATTTCTTTCAAAATATATTACAGATGAAGCTTTTGAAATTGTCTTTGTGAAAAAATTCTTGGAAATATTGAGTCTCAATGAATAATTCTTCATTTTTTTCTAAATTTACCTTTAAAGTCAAAATCATTCTTAGATGGTCACCTGAATATTTTTAAGTGCTTTAAAAAATTAACACTGTTACTAGAGATAATACCTGCTTTAAATAGTCCTTTTCAATTTCTTCTACTTTGCTTTACTTTTTAGCCCATAATTTTATAGTATCTCACTTTTGACAAGGCTCAATGCACCGTACATATTTTTTTCAACAAGTGGTTAAGATCTTAGGGCAAACACTACCAGAAGAAATAAAAGAAAAATGCAGTTTGATTTTTGATTTGGATGGAGTGAGTAGTGGCAATGTCAAGCCTATAACACTGAATTTTACTTGATCTCAGTCGGAGAAATTTAATATTCCTAGGATGCTCTGGGCAGAACCACAGCAATCACAGTTGGCAATACTATTCTGCATTTGGATACAGGCTCACTATTAGATCCTTTTGGTGCTAATAGTGTTACCTATACCACGTTTATGAGAAGCTAGAATTTAATTCTCGGCTCCTCAAATCTTCTGTTAACATAATTATGGCTGTGACTTTGTTTCATGTCTAGGGAAAACAAAGGTGAAGAGAAAAGAATTTGAATCTTCAACCATTTTAAAATATTTTGATGATGATTTATAAAATTTAAAAAACTGTAGAAGGAAAGAAAATAAAATACAGTATTGAAGAGCAAATAGGTGAGCCAGGCATGGTAGTACGGGCCTGTAATCCCAGCACTTGAGAGGCTGAGGCAGGAGTCTGAGGTCATTTTGGGCTACATAGTAAGCATAAGCCCAGTCTGAGCTATGTAGCAAGACTCTGTTTCAAAAACCACCAACAAAACAAAAGAAAAAAACAGCAAATAGTTGTCTTTCTCTATCTCTCAGCCTATTACTACATAATTTGTTATATTTTGTGGAACAGAAAAAGCTAATTTGATGATTGCAAAAAAGTCAGTTCAACAGATCTAAATCACCCTGTCATAGTAGGCAGCCTAATTAAACTTTAATACTTTGATTTTGACACCTGACTTGTACACATAATTGTATGTGTACATCATCATCATTATATGTTCAATTCTACTGTACTTTACGTGATTGGAAACCACTTTGGAGATAGTAATGCATTGTTTGCCAAATTAGCAACCTTTTGTGTTTGCATGGAGCCTTGTTATTATTGAATTAAATACTTGTTTCTCTGCATGCTGTTATTTACACAGTTCATTTGCATTTTATTTGCATAGCTCTAGTTAAATTAGAATGATACATCCCAGCATTAGTTTACCATGCTTGTGTTTTATTTTGTAATAAAAATTCTATGTCACATTACCTGACTCTCACTAACTGTATTCTTTTTTATAATGTTTGTAGCAACTCTTCTAACATCTGGGACTACTGCAACAGTAGCCCTGTTGCGAGATGGCATTGAACTGGTTGTAGCCAGTGTTGGGGACAGCCGAGCTCTTTTGTGTAGAAAAGGAAAACCCACGAAGCTGACCATTGACCATACTCCAGAAAGAAAAGATGAAAAAGAAAGGTATGCCACCATAAATCATGAATTTTTGTATGGGGTGATGTTTATAGTTCAAGAGGAAATGAAGTATTATTATTTATCTATTCAGTACCAAGGATTGATTCGAAGGCCTCTTACTAAGATAGGTTCCCACTGTTTAAATTTTTATATTGAGACAGGATCTCATTATGTTACTCAAGATGGGCTTAAATTTAGGATTCTCCTGCCTCAGGCTTCTAAGTAGCTGAGATTACAGATGTGCACCACTGTACCCATCTGAAGTGAAATTTTGCACTTTTTTGTGGTGATGAGGATCAAGCATAGGGCTTCATGCATGCTGGGCAAGCACTGTTCCACAGAGCTATATTCCCAGACAAAAGTTTAAAAACTGATGTCATGCATAAAATTAACAGAGATTTTTCTGCAATCATATCTTAGTCTGCTCATGTTTCTTGATCAGGATCAAGAAATGTGGTGGCTTTGTAGCGTGGAATAGTTTGGGACAACCTCATGTTAATGGAAGGCTTGCAATGACAAGGAGTATTGGAGATTTGGACCTGAAAACCAGCGGTGTGATAGCAGAACCTGAAACAAAGAGGATCAAGGTGAGAAAGGACATGCAGATACTTGAGATGCATGTGGAAAGAATGAATAAGCAGGCTTTCTTGGAAGATATAGCTGAACCAAAATGATTTTTCAAAGGAGAGTAATTTATAGAAGAGTAGACAAACTTTTCAGATAAGATACTATTTTCCTGGCCTGCTAGCTGTGAAGTCTTTGGTTTTTGTTTCACTCTTGCTGTGGAATTCTGATAGACTGACTCTGCTGTCCTTTCTTTACTGTGCCTGATCATTTAGTGTCATTCCAGCTTGGAGCTTCCCTTGACTTCACGTTTCCACCAAGCTGAATAACTGCCGCCTCTATTTCCATAGCTCGGCTGGTCCGAGTGCAGTGGTGTTTCCATAGCTCATTGCTCTTATTACCCTACTTTGCCGCAGTGCACAACTGTGATCTGATACTTCCTTCTTTGAAAACCTTGAGGCAACTCACGTAGTACTTAACAACTTCCAATGACAGAAAAATCTTTGTTCATTAGCTGCACGAAGGGGTTCTTAGTAGACCTTTCACTTACACTAATTTTATGTAAGAAATACTTAATGTGGGCCTTGCTGTTTGACAGGTTTGTTTCAAAAGAGGTACTACTATCCTCATTTTACGAGGAAAACAAATCTAAAGCATACAGAGGTCTGAGGCATACAAATGCTCATGCTTTTAGTGATGGAGAATGCTCACTCAGATGAAAAATAGGGTTTAAGCTCTTGCTACCTCATCATTTGGCTATCTGACTTTTTCCATTATGGTATTACTAAGTAAATGGTTTATCTTTGGTGGTGGTTGATACTTCTTACATTTCCACTTTTTGCCTATAAACAGATGACTATTCAGCAAGACACATAAATGATATCTTCCAGTTGTCAATATTATTTTAAGTCAAAGTCTGGTTTGTGATCATCTGTGTTGGTTCTGATTGCAGCTACAACATGCTGATGACAGCTTCCTCGTCCTCACCACAGATGGAATTAACTTCATGGTGAACAGTCAAGAGATCTGTGACTTTGTCAATCAGTGCCATGATCCTACTGAAGCAGCCCATGCAGTGACTGAACAGGTGACATGGCAGAACTTCTGCGGGGAAATTCCCAAGGAGGGAGGAGGGTGCAGGACAACCCGTGGCACCAGATCTCCATATGGCTCGGAGTGGCCACAAGCTGAAGATTTCTTTGAAATCTTGTGTTTTAGCTTAAACATCACAATGAATTTCACACCTGATTCCATAATATTTCTAACTGGCAAAGTTTTACATCTGCCCAAGTGGTTAAGAAAAACTAACAGGCCATGGAAATGCCATATTGGTTACTTTTTGACCTTGAGATGATAATGAGAGCAGTAATCAATTGTAATAGTAAGCTAATATCACTTTGTGTCAAACATTATTCTATTCACATATATGTTAACTCATAATAAGCCTGACATTGGAGCTTTTCCCAAAGGAGGAAATCCGAGGAACAGAGCCAGTGTTGCAGAACTGGGCTTCAAACTCAGTCAGCCAATATTCCCAAGTCCAAAGACTTGACCTTTGAATTAGACTTCTCCAAGAAAATATTCAACTTGGGAAACACTCTACAATGCTTAACTTCAGGTTATTAAAAATGGCTGTGCAAAAAAGGTGAAAGCACAAAAAGGGGAATGGATGGGATTGTGTGTCCCTCAGGGATACAGTTGGAAAGCTGGGTCATATCCAGGAAAGGACATGTAAAAGTTGCTTTGTGTTGTTTAATATTTTTTCTTATAGATAGTAGTTTTAAGTTACAGCCATTCCTCATCATGCTTTTAATTCAACAGATATTTTTTGCATTTCTTTCTTTTTGAGGGGAGGGGATTTGGTACCAGGAATCAAACTCAGGACCTCGTGTTTATCAAGCAGATGCTGTGCCACTGAACTATATCTCTGACCCCTATTTTTGCATTTCTGAAATGTACATTTTGATAGAATGGACAAATTTGGCCTAAACTTTTTTTTTTTTTTTTTTTTGTCTTTTTTTGAGACGGGGTCTCGCTATGCAGTTCAGGCTAGCCCTTGAGCTCACTTTGTAGCCCAGGCTGGTCTCAAACTCGCAACAATCCTCCCACCTAAGTGGGAGTGCTGGGATTACAGGCGTGAGTTACCACGCCTGGCTAAATTTGGCCTAAACTTCTCATGAACAGGTGCTATTCTTTGTGTGAATCCTTTGAATTCCCTTTTTTTTTTTTTGCCAATTTGGTAGGTGAAAAAATGAAACTTTTAGTGTTTTAAGTATGAATAATTTTGTTTAGTGGAGTTACTGATTTGCAAAGTTTATTAATCATTGTATAACTTGTTTTCTATCTTTGCCTGTTATTTTCATTGCAAGAACTTTCTATGTGTTAAGTACAATAGCTCTTCAATACTATAAGACTTTGTCTTTCAATTTGTTAAACTTTTTTCATTTATTGAAGCATTTTACAACACTTTCATCATTCCTTTCCTTTACAATTTTAGCTTAGGGATGTGAGGGGTTTTAAAATACATTTGATGCTAAGTATAATCCCAAGCACTTTTATAATACTGACCATGTCACTTGCTATTTGAACTACTTCCTAAAATTGATTTACATTTTTCTTCTTGTGGGAAATTAGTTTATCCGCATGTTTCTATTTTGTAAGGAGCATAGTAAATAATCCTATGGTAATATCTTCCCACACATCATTTCCAAGATTTTTAATTTTTTAGGCTAAATTCCTAGAAGCAGAATTGCTGACAACAGTTGCTAATTATCAAGTCTACTGTGTTTGGTCCCACAGTAAGTGCTTTATGTGTACCTTCTTCAGGAACTGCATATCATCCACAGTGTTTCTATTACCAAGGTCACTACGATGGAGTACATTCCACTATGATGTGGTTATTTTAGGTCATCTCTTGTTCCACCTGAAGTTTGATGACCTCATGTGACATTGATAACAAGGTGAAAGAATCTTACCAATTATATGTAAAACCAGCTTGGCTTCCCAGGGAATGAATGGTTTGTCTTTGTACAGACTCTGAACTTCACCGTTTTCTCTTCTTTCTTGGTAAACCTTGCAGGCAATACAGTATGGCACTGAAGATAACAGTACTGCGGTGGTAGTGCCTTTTGGTGCCTGGGGAAAGTACAAGAACTCCGAAATCAATTTCTCATTCAGCAGAAGCTTTGCTTCCAGTGGCCGATGGGCCTGATTGCTGCTTTGGAGCCAGGGTTTCTGTGCATCAGTGTTGAACTCGTCAAGAAACTGATAGAGCAAAAGGTTCACCTGTGCCAGTGTGACTCTGTGACTGGCTAGTTTAGTACCCACATCAGTGTCGATAACCACTTATTACATAGTAGCTTTTAATACATACTGTACCCATTCTATTTATTTTTGACTATCCATGCTTAGTATAAATATACATGCAGTGAAGCTATAGCGAGTGTTGAAGTTGAATGGGCAAATGACAATGATTCTGTTACACTTAATAAGTGTTAAATTTTTTCTTTTACTTTGTTTTGTTGTCATTGTTGCTGCTTTGTTACTGTGGTGCTAGAGATTGAGTACAGAACTTTTTGCATGAATTTCTAATTTTTAAGAGTCTAAGGCAATTGTGGCTTCTTTTTGATTATTTCTGTTTTTATTCGTTTAAACAAATTGTTCAAATTTTTCTGATTTTGGACAGTTATTCAGTATGTTATCTGTAAGGGTCTTTCTTCCTGCCTTCTTTCCTTCCTACCCCACCCCCTTTTCATTCTTCTCCTTCCCTTCCTCCCTTTTGTGAGAGGGGATCTCGTTGTATTGCCCAGGCTGGCCCTGAATCCCTTTGCTGAAGTAATCCCCTGCCTCATTCTCCCAGACAGCTGGGACTAGACAGGCACATCACTATGCCTTGCTTGCAAGAGTTTATAGTTAATACATGTAGCAAGGAGTAAATGTGAGAATTGGGCTTTTTGTTACCGTATTTTGTGTTCTGGACCACTTCCTGGTAATTGTAACCATACAAAAGAAATTCGTTCAGATAATAGGCCACTGCTAAATCATGTATTTATTTATAGACAGCACACTTGTGTATCTCAACTATTAGCACTCTTTCTCTTTGTTTTTATTTTCTTTAGTTAAGTATGCTCTACAGATGTGACTGTTCCTTAATGTCAAAAAAGAATGTGCTTGCTAAAGGTCTTTTGGTCAAAACGGTACAAAGTTATGTATTTTGTATAAAGTTTCCATTTGTTGCCTCTAACTCTTGTTTGTACAGAATTATGTTCATATCACTTTTTGTATAGAGTAAGCAAGTTGGATAATTTGTTAGTAACAATATGTCATGGAGTGATGCTGATATAAACAGTTTGAGGTTTATATCTGTTTTGCTCATTTCTAGGACTGATGAAAAAATAATAAGTTTAAAACAAATGCTAAAACATTCTGTGTCTCGCCTGGCTATGTAATTTAGGAATGTAAGACCATATATATATATTTTTTACCTGAATGTAAGTTTGCTTTTCAACTGTGAATCTCTAAATGTGCACTTGGAATTATATCAGTTAATTTTTGGACTATGTAAATTTGTCATGTGGGATGTGTATATATGTATATTTTAGAGTAATATAAAATTAAAATGAACAATCTTGTATAGGTAATTCATTAGGTAACTGTAAATTATTGATATACTTATCCCTAAAGATGCTTGACACACTGCGGGCAGTTTTCCTATAATGGAGAATCTAGTTATTGGCAGGTAAGGAGATAGATTAAGGATGGGTATAGGAAATACTTTATGTTGGGTAATTTATCTGGATAACTCAGGAACTGAACCAGTATGTCAATTTACATTGTTATGTGGTACTTTGAACACAAAATGGTATTTGAGAGGAATACTGAATGTTGAGTATGACATGGAATTTTGTGGTATAAACAAAAGAAGAGTAAGCAAAAAAGTAATAGGCCCATGTACATAACTTCAGCTGTCAGTTTTCAGGATTGATTCTTCTCTTTCTTTAAGCTTTATTTAAAGGTTTTTAGAAGAAAGAGGGCCAAGTATAAATATTCCATCTCACATTTGAGGGAACAGAAGAAAATAAATCATGAATTTTCATACCTGTATTAATCAGGAATTGTCCTTTGAAAAAGTGCTAGCTAAATATTTCCATTTTTTTCAAAGAAATAATAAAGAGGACAGAATTACAGAAAGGAATATAGTTTGCTGTTCTGTGAGCAATGAGGAACCAACAGTAGATTAGCAGGCTTGGGATATTTTCTTGATTTTCTGAATCAGGACTTGGAACAGAAAGACAGGTTTTTACATTTAGAAACAAGTGGGATTTCCAAAATAACATGTAAGACAAAGCCGTATAGCATCAAAATGGCATTCTAAATGTTCAGATTCATTTTGTTTTGAATTCTTCACATTACTATTCCTCTCTTTTAATTTAAAAACTAAAAGAGAGCAATGCTTTCAAGCTCGAAGTCCTGCAGATCATTGCTGTAGTAGGTAAGTTGCCAGGTTTGATAAAGAGGGATTTGTGAGATTATGCCCTTGGGTGCACTTGGCTGTTTTACCTGGAAAGTTTTAAAATCCAGAGCTAATTATCCATAAAATATATTGATGTTTATATTTTTGAGCCACAATATTAAAATACATTTTTAAAATGTAGAGTATAATCCCTAGATGAAAAACATGTATTAGACCTCAGAGCTTGTTACTAGAAATTATGCAAATAGTAGTAAAAAGTTGTAAGTGCAGGTTTTTAGTTATAACTGTGAATTTGTCATATGGGTACAGATATGGTGTAAATTAAATAATATAAAAAATCAATTATCTTTGTCTTTTATCTACATGTAGTACAATTATATTACATATTTATAGTACACATATAAAATTTTTATGTTTTTCCAAACTATTTGCCAAAATTTATTTGGTGAAATATTTTTAAACCATTCTGATATTTTATAAGAATAAGCTCTTAAATACCCCAAATATTAAAAAACAAATGCAGTCCTGCTCTCCAAACTATTCAAAGATCTTAAGTGTTTCTTAAGCGCTTTAGTTTGGTTTTGCATTTTTTCTGAGGGAAAAAATCCACTTAGAGATAGTTTTGATATTTTTTCGTACTCCGTGATAGCAACTTTCCCTAAATTCAACGTTCAAAAAATTAGTTTGAAGAGTTAGTAGCATATAAAGTATAGAAATAATTTTTCAAAATAAGATCCTTTTTAAAAAAAGGATTTTAGCAGACAATAGACCTATGCCAACTCTTCAATATCAAAACATTGAGTTTCCTTGCTAATCATGGACAGGGAATTAACTTCATGGTAACATGACAGTAAGAAAGTGCTTCAAGGTGAGGCCTGCAGGAGTCAAAGTTAAGCATTAAACAGTTAAACGTAAGTATGTATTTGTATCTTTCTTTAGTTATTAGTTCCTATGAATCTGTTTCTGTAAAGAGTGATGTGAGATTTGGGTTGGGTTATGGTTTATTTCCTAAACTCCCTTGAACAGACAACTTAAAACAGAAATATGACATGGCTTTACAAGGTGACTAAACTAAATTGTGATGGCTTCGTGTTGTTTTTGGTATCTTGTGATGGGACCAGTGATCATCTGGCAGCTGCTATTGGTTGTTAGATGGTTGAAATGATCCATTGATGGTCATTGGTTCTAGTTGTGAGCTGATGATGGTATTCCACCTCTAAAAATAATGTGTCCGCTATTGCATTCTAGTACAGAATTTAGCAGCCTGTTATGTCCCAAATTAATTTCTACTGAAGGGCTCTGTTGTATTTAACACATTTATTTTACAATTTACCAAAATATTGTTTGGTATATAGCGCCTCCTACAGTGAGTTGATGTAAGTGCTGATTTTACTGTTAAGAGTGACTGAGTAGACTATCATCACATATCTTGGTGTTGAAAATGTCATTCTAATAAAATGCATGCATTAAATACTTTCTAAATTCCCACTGTCTTTATTTAACAGTCATGCTGTCCAAAATTTATTACATATGTGATCATGTATAAGAGCTATGCATAGTTGAACATTTCTTTTAGTAGCCAAATTCTGGCTGTTTGTAAATGAATGGGAGACAGCTTTGGGGGGAAAATGGCTACACTCCCACCTCTTCCACATCTTTTTGCTTTTGTAATGCAAATTGATTTCTCGTTTCCATTTTCCAAAGTATTTGTTGGTGTCATCAGAGGGAACAGGCCATGATGAGTTCTGTAATACATCGGCAGCTTCAAAATTTTGGGTCAGATTTCCCTCTAGCATATTCCAAATATAATAAAATTAGAAACAGCTCCTTAACGGTCATGCTACGGAATTCAGTATTATGCATTTAACACAAATGGTTTTTAATGTCTGGTCATTGACTGAAGTGTAATAGTTTGTATTCTATAGGCAAAAAGACTTGTAGACTATTATCTCCTGTAGGTAGCTTGGTAAAATTTACCTGACACTCTCTATATCTTTAGCAGTGAGAAACAATCATTAGTGTTTGTTAAATGAGAAATTAATGAATTGAGTTCTACTTTGATTTTTTTATGGTAATGATAAACCAGGCATTAGATACTTTAAATAATTAAGCCAAAGAGTATTTGTGTAAAGGGATGACATTTCACTTCCATTTGGGGATTACTGTATGGTTCAGAATCTTTTTCTGAAACTCATTCAAAGAAAGTCAATACCTAAAAGAACTGTGCTGTGTGGATGGGTCTAATCCTGTTTTCTCAGAAAGTGGAGAAGGAGAAATTAATATTGAAGGGCTCTTGAGTGCCATGCTCTCTTTTTGTTGGATTTGGTTTTGGTTTTGGTTTTCTGAGACAGGGTCTCACTATGTAGTCCAGGCTGGGATTTTATTTGCAGTGTAGCTCAACTTTGTAATCCTGCTTCCACCTTCCTACAGCTGGGATTATAGGTATGCACCAGCACATCTCCCTGAGCCACGCTGTGTTTTTTTTTTTGTTTTTGTTTTTGCACATATTTCATTCTGTACAACAACCACAAGGGGAAACCTTTCTAATTCTCAGTTTTGTAGACAAAGAGATGAAGTGTTGGAATAGCTAACATGAAATCTCAAGTCTAATTCAGATCACTTTGGCTTCAAAGCCTAAGTTCTTCCTATTGGACCATACCTCTTGTATTAGCAAAAGCCAAACCACTTCATTACCAACATCATCTATTACATATCCATCTGTGTGAGTGGGCTTGATGACACACATCTGTACTTTCTGCTATTCGAAAGACTAAAGCAGAAGGATCACAAGGCCAAGGTCAGCCTGGCCAAATTACTGAGACTCTTTTAAAAGGGTGGGAGCATGCTGGGGATGTAGTTAAGTGATCAATCCCCAGCATTACATATTATGAACCAGCAAATAACTCAATGGATAAATGAACATATTAAGAGATAATAACTGAACACGTTATGTAAATTAGGATAGAGGAATAAATTATATGCAAACCAAAGGAATATAATGAAAAAAATAAATATACAGAATTACCACTTTAAACAGCACTGAAAGGATGTAAAGGACAGCAAAAAAGTCAGTATACCAATGTTAAATATTGAGAATCTACATTGCAAAAAAAAAAAGTTTTGTAGGTGGGTCTAACTGAGCTTGGGGAAAATGGGACTTACTTTCCTAGAGGGACTTTGTCCCTACTAGACACAGAAGTGAAGAAAGTTACTTGTGCCAGAAAGACAGCCATGCTTGCCTGAAAAGATGATGCAAATATAAACATGTTTTGGAGGGCAAGAGAAATCTAGCCAATGAACCTGCGGAGCCTTTGGTCACTCATCTAGAAGACTTTCATTGCCCCACACTGAATGGTCATTGGATGTGACTGTGCTTAGGAAGAGTAAGCAAGGCAGCTTCCTTCTGCCAGGAAACATACTTCCCTGGGTGGCAGAAGAGCACTGTCCCCTGACAGTGCTCCTAGTAGCTAGAGGAACAGTTTCTTCAGCTCCAAAGGTGGGTGTTAGGCACAGCATAGCAGCCAGAGTTCTAATTTTACTCTGCAGATAAAATAGAAAAGACTGAGGAGTGGCCCCAGGTCCCATATTGCCCCATGTCTGGCTCAAACCCTCATTCTCGGAAGCTGTCCCTTCTTCCGCCTCCGTGACTAATTTTGTACCATTAACACTTACTATTTGGATTATATGGTCTGAATAGGGTCCATTTTGGCTTGTCAACAATCAATCAGACACTCAATGAAGGTGGATATTATTAGACAAAGAGGAAGGGAGTAAGAGTGGGAGGAAGGGGAGGATAAAGGAGACTAATGGGGATAGATATTGTTAAAATATGTACATGTATAAAAATTCAATCTAATACATATTTGGAAATGTACATTAAGAGATGGCCAGACTTGGTAGCTGTATAATGGAAGGAACTAGGTTGGAGAAAGCAAGTCAAATTGACTCTGACCTTTCCCAGAAAAGGTGCGTCGTGTACAGAGAAAAAAAGCAGAGATGAGTACAGGCACTTTCCAGAGGGATGGAGAAGTGGAGGAAGGAATTTCCCTGGTCCCAGCAATCTCTGGTCCTGGGCTAGTCTCATTTGAGAGATTTTTCTGAATACCCAGAAACTCCTGCAGGTATCAAAAATTAAAAGTAATAAAGAAAAGAAAAAAAGGGAGAAGCAACTCTATGAGTGTCCTGGCAGAGATGCAATCTGGCAAGAGATCCAATCCTAACCGTGTTTCATCTGAAATTTGGTAGTTTTCCACTGCAGAAGTTAGACCTGGTTACCAAACACTTACATGTTGATAATTAAATGAGCAAAATTCCACAGGGAATCTGAGAAGGTTGCAGCTGTTCCTAGCAACCAGGAAGAACCAAATACCTCAAAAATGTATATGAGTAAGGAGAGAACATTGTAGAAACAAACCGAGTCCAAGACCAAAATGACAAAGCTGACATGTCTGTCTGCAGTTACGGCTGCCCCATCTCATCTCTCATTCACTTCTCATCACATGCATCCTACCCCATGTGACCCCACCACTCCAAGAAAGGTTCACAGTGGCCTCTGCCAGCTAAATGCAATGGTTCCTTTTAGTTTTAAGTCATCCGACCTCCTAATGTTCAGTAGTCTTGGCCACATCCCTCATTGAAGCGGCTACCTATCTTTTCTTCTAGCTACCCACAGCTGCATCTCGGTCTCCTACCCTTTGACTGTTAGTGTCCCCCCAGGTCTCCCTGCAGCCCTCTTCTCATTGTGTTCAGGAAATAATTTATCCCCGTGGCTGCAACTGTTACTGTATTCAGATGACTTGTAACTGTACACCCAGGTAAGAGTTCCTTCCTGAGCACCAAACCCAAATATCCAGTCACTGAGTACACTCACTGGGAGGGCCTGTAGACAAGTCACTGTCAACATATCCAAAATGGAACACCACGCAAGCCTCTTCCTTCTAAAGTGCCTCGGATGCTGCCCAGACCTTCAAGGCAAAACTCAGAGTGCCAGCGTTTCCTTATGTTTGTGATTTGTTTCCTCTTTTCTATGACACTAGTTCCTCAAATGATGTCCTTGTTTCTAGGGCTGCCTCTAGGGCTTCTGCCTATATCTGTTCAGTTACATTTTATAAGCAAAATTAAAAGACTTTTCTTTCATGGTCTGTCCCCTGTCACTGCTCCAGGGTAATTTCTTCTACTCCCAATCTTCCTACTTAAGCCCAATCCCAGCTGGTTCCTCCTGCTCTGCTCCTCATCCCCCTGCCCCACATACACTCTGCCAGCATCATTTTTTAGAAAATCATGTTCAGTCGGTTTCAGTAAGTTATTTTGGCACAGCTGAGAAAGGACCAAGGCACAATGCTTCTTGAAAGAAGAAAAATGATAATGTTGCAAGAAGATACAAATCTAAGAATCCTCCCAGGTCCGGCCAAGAAGGGGTTTACACACTGGTATTTTGCTAATGCTAAGCCTGCTCCTAAAATCCAAGAAATGCAAGCAGTGTGTTTAATCCAAAGCCTAAACCCAAGCTCATGAGAAAGAATCCCTGCTCCAAAGTTCTTACTAGAAAACCAGAGAATAGTGTTAACTGGTTTTTCTAACTGAACTCCTTGTTTTCAAGATTAATGTGTTAAATATCAGACTGGTGAAGAGTTTCCATGTTTTATCCTACAGCTCACTATGTATGATCATTTTTTTCAAAACTTTATTTTGTGACGGTCTTGCTAAGTTTCCCTTGTTATAATTTCAACTTTTTAAAAATGAGAAGGATCATAGCACCTTATAGGGTCATTGCGAGGTATGAACACATAGGCATGCATATGTGTTTCTTTCTGCCATTAAGTCCTGTTTCTATCAGTTTTGCTTTTTCCGCACATGTTTTTCTCCACGTTTTTATTTTCCTCCCTCATTATGTGCCTTTATTTTCTTCTTACTGCACTTCTCCACCTTCACACAGACACCCTCTTTTTACTCTTTTCTGGCAGACTGAAAGTTTTAGTATTATCATGCCTCTCCCTCACTTAAACATTAACAGCTATGAACTTTAGTGGAAAACAGAGCAAGAAACCTAAATAATATTAAAATCTTATTTTCTGTTTTCCAAATTAATCTCTGATATCTGCATGTTCAGGTGTACTACTGTTTTTTTTTACATTTCAAAATCAGGAGCTGAGGTGCAGCTCAGTGGTAGAGCTTGCCTGGTATGGGTAAAGCCCTGGGTTTAATCTTCAGTCCTGCAAAAACAAAACAAAGTCAGTAAACACATTCATGTTATTTTAATTTTGATTTTTTTTCTCATAACATATCTTGGTACGTATGTCATGTATCAACATAGACTTTATAATTACTTTTTAAAAGTATGATCTCTTATATCAGGTGATGTCATATTTCTCCTGTTAGAGCATAGCAATTTTTATCTTTTTCTTACAGCAATGGTTTTTTGGTGGTACTCAGAACCTTGCTCCACTACTGAACTACATACCTAGGTCTAACTTTCAGTGTTT